TCTCTCTCTCTCTCTCTCTCTCTCTCTCTCTCTCTCTCTCTCTCTCTCTCTCTCTTTCTCACTCACTCTCTCTTTTAAAAAAGGATATATTGCACATATTAACTTTAATATTGCACATATTTACTTTAAAACACATCATTGTATTTCTTAAAAAAAAAGAAGGCACTCCTACATAGTTACAGTATAGTTATCAAATTCAGAACTTTTAACATTGAAAGAATATTATTATCCAATCTGCAATTAATATTGCAAATTCACTAATTGTTGCTATAATGTTTGTCATAGTTTTCTTTCTCTTTCTCTATAATACTATCACAAATTGAATCCATGTGCTAGGTCTCTTGTTCTTTATTTTGAAACTTTTTTTTTCATTTTTTTCCTCTGTACTTAATGACATTTTTTTGAAGAGTACTTGGCAGTTTTCTTATAAAATGTTCCTAGTTTGAGATTTTCTGTTTTCTCCTTATCTTTATATTTAGGTTAAACTTTTTTTATATAGGTGAGAGGAATCAATCATTTTTGATCTGCAACTTATGTGTTATAAATCTTTAAGCTTTATTTTTCCACACTTAAGTTGTTAGTATTTCTATATTCTGTTTTGTTTATGGTATAGTATATGGATATATTTTCATATTAAAAGCTAGCATAACCATTAATGTTATTATTTCCTTATTGATCTCAGCACCATTTCTATTTACTTTTATTATTAAAGCACCAGAGGTGCTTTACTACTGTGCATATTCCCAGTCCTTTTTGTTTTTTTGTTTTGAGGCAGTGTCTAACTAATTTGCTTAAGGCCTTGCTAAATTGCTGAGACTGGCCTTGAACTTGGAATCCTCCTGTCTCAGCCTCCAGGATAAATGGGATTAAAGCCACCAGCCTGACTCCACTTCTATTTTATACCAAATTTCCTGTATACCTTGATTCTTTCCTGATATCTGTCTTATGTTTCTGCATGATCTTGATACAATCATTCTACTTCTCTAAATATATTCATCTCTAAGGTGAGTAATAAATGGACTTACCTGTTTGGGTTGTTAGATGGTGAAATTTATATTCCACTTTTATTTATTAAATGTTTGGACATTTATTCTCTCATTTAATCTTCATACAAACTAAAAGTTAGAGAAGTTAAGTGACTTATCCACAGTTTGAAAAGTTGGTTTGGTATAGAGTTCAAATTTGAACTGTCCTGACTCCAAAACCTGTGTACTTTTCAAAATGTCATACCACATTTCAGTACTAAGAAAATTACCTTATACAGCAGCCAGGTTAGTTTTTTGAGGATTCTCAATAAGCAGTCACTCTTTTAAACTTTCTGTTCTATGAATGTTATAGGAATGCCCAATTCTTCTGGCCTTGTGAACCGTCGTGATGCTATTTCAAAAACAGATGCCACTGTGGTTGCATTACTGAAGAAAGCAGGTGCCATTCCCATTGGCATAACCAACTGTAGTGAATTGTGCATGTGGTATGAATCCAGTAACAAGATCTATGGCCGATCCAACAACCCATATGATTTACAGCATATTGTAGGTGGAAGTTCTGGTGAGTTAGATATATTAGTTAAGGATCCTTATGAGGAGTAGATACAATATTGCACAAAACTTTGAGAAAGCAATGGTCAGTATTTATGGTAAAGAAAGTTGTGAAATGTGACTATGAAACAGATCATTGAAGACCATTGTGACAATGAACATTCATATTGTTACTTTGTGTGTGTGTGTGTGTATGTGTGTGTGTGTGTGTGTATTTATGTATGATGGGAAAAAGAAGAGAATATGAGTTAATGTAGATGCTTTAGCTAATTGCCTATTCCTTATGGAGACAAAGGTGATAAAATAGTGTAAGAATATTGAGTATTAATTACTTTGTAAGAGAAACTGTGAATATAGAAGATGTGTTCATAGAAAACCTCTCTGAGGAATTAATATTTATGTTTAAACTCATTTGATTAGAGAGATTTGGTGACTCATTAGGAGAAGAAGTAGGTGAGCCAAGGAACAATGTAAGTAGAGGTAACAGAAAGTACAAATGTCTCTAAGTGGCTTAATGCTTAGAGTGAACATAAAGAAAACCAATATAGTTCATTAAAACAGAGGAGCTAGAAGTGAAATAGGAAAGGTAGATTAATGTAGACTATGTAGAGAAGCAAAGAAAATAGTAAATAGAGAAGTGGAAGTCTATTTTGGTAGCACAAGAGGTAATTGAGAGTGGATTCAACTAGTGCTCCTCAAGATGAAGAAAGCAGATCGTATGCAAGAGACATTTCAGAGGTAGATATATATGATCTACTCATAGATTAAATATGAATATGTGGATATAAAAGTAAAAATAATAATGAAAAATAACTCAAGACTTCTGACTTGAGTGATAGCAACAGGATATATTCAGAATGAGGAAATTGGATAGGGGAAACACGGGTGTTTAGCATGATTTAGGAGTGACATTTTGGACATATTATGATTAGAATGTTTTTAAGACATACAGTGAAGGTATCAGGTGGCCAATTGAACATTTTTTATGAGTCAGAGTAAAGATATGGACTATTAATAATTATTTATAAATTATAAGCATAATTATGATAAGTATCTTATCTGTAAATTTAAAAATTTATACAAAATCCATATATTGATGGAAAATAATCAAGGCCTATGACAGAAGATTAGTCAACTTCAGTAATTTGAAGGTGAGAAGATAAGTATCCATCAAAGGCAAATCAGAATGAGCTACAAGTTATGTAAAAAAAAAAACAAGAGTATAATGAACACTAGAATATACAACATCAAGCATGTGTACGTGGGTTACTAATATAAGGTGTTGAAGGTTTTGGTTGCTAAAGTCAAACAGATTTTTGAAATTTCTTTGTTATCTGATCTTGGTCACATAAAGTAGATGCTCAGGATTCAGTTTCCTCAGACTGTAAATTTGCCATAATAATAAAAACTGTCCTGTAAATTATTGTGATGACTAAAAACATTGTGACTACAGGTTTCAATTATGGCATACAAAGAACTTGAAAGTTATTACTTCCATCCACATGGTAAGAAAAACTGGAACAATCGGAATATTGACAACATTTTTATGTTGGCAAGAACACTAAAGTCATAGGGCATAGTGCTTCCCTCAAATTGAGGAGAAAGACAAGCATAGAGAGATTACCAAAACTTAGTAAAGTAAAAGCCTAGAAAGTGTAAAACAAAGGATGTACAGAATAGGGAACACTTAAACTACAATTGACGGCTTGCTGAGGTTCAGTGTGAAGTTTGAGGGTTTAAATTTCCAGGTGGATGCAGTCTTACAAGTCCCACACTTCCATGAGTTTTAACTCCAGGAACTCTAACATGTTCTTACAGTGAAGATTAGAGAAAAATTCCCTCATATTTGTAGTAGGGGTAGTGGGGAGTACCCTCTTTGAAATACTTCCAAAGTTTTCTCATTCTTCTAACAAGGAATGCCCACTGAGAGACTATTTTATTAGAACCAAACAGACTGTGGTATTGCCAGAGATAATTGACAAATTGGGGAAAAGAAATACTCATGTCTAGTCCCCTCTAGCTTCTTCTCCCATATAAGTGGGAAAACAAAACAAATGTGAGAAGCACATGTTGTTAGGGTCTCAGGCCAGAGGAAGAACCTAACTAAATGACTAAAATCTAAACATATGTTTATAGAGTATATCTTGTTTCTTCCCTCAAATACCTCACTGCCATATAAATAGGGGTCTTGTACTTCAGAGAAATAAAATGGAATAAATGTGCATCATAGGTGTTACTTAAGAGGATTTTGTGAAACCAAAAGACAACAGGGAAGACCTAAATAAACACCATAGACAACAATAACTCTATCAGTAATTGAAAGGTCTTATTAATAGAAAATTAGTAAGGACATAATTTAAACAGCATCAACAACTTAACCTAATTGACATTTATAAAACACTTCATTCTAGAACTGTAGAAAACTCATTCTGAAGTTCATGGGAAATCATTCATCAAGAAAGGCTATGTTCTGGGCCATGAGGCATTCTTAAACAAAATTTTTTAAATATGCATTTTTTAGTTGTAGATGGACACAATACCTTTATTTTATTTTATTTTATGTGGTGCTGAGATTGAATCCAGTGCCTCACGTGTTCTAGGTGAGTGCTCTACCACTGAGCCCCAGCCCCAGCCTTAAATTTTAAAGAATGGAAATATTACTATACGGTCTCAAACCACAATGAAATTAAATTAGAAATCAATTACAGGAAGATAGCTAGAAAATACTCAGAGTATATAGAAATTGAATAGCACACTTCAAAATAATAAATGGATTAAAGAAGAAGTCATGAGAGAGATTTAAAAATATTTCAAACTAAATGATAATGAAAATGCAACTTATCAAAAATTGTGAGAGTGTTTTTTCAGCAGTATATCAGATTGGAAAGCTATGGGTCCTTTATTACACTTATGAAATCATTAAAAAGAACATGTAGTGATAGCTAATTGACATGCAAGTGTTCTGGAAAATAGTGAAAAAACCACAGCCACCATGAAAACACATAATCAAGAAAAAATCCATATTCAAAGTGGTAGGAAAACTCACTAAATACTTGCTTAACAATGATCTACCCTATCTCTGATATAGTGTGATTGTCAGGAAAACAAAAGCCTAATTCCCAATTCCCTCCCTGGATATAGAGGAAACAAAACAGAACTTACTTTCAATATTTTAAATTGCCTGAGGGCTATGTGAAGAACTGGTTTCTGTTTTCTTTAACTTGGAGCTTGAGTGGAGAATATCAGTGTAGCTTGGATTTCATGTCAGTGAAAGCTGCAAAGATGGGCACTACTCTTCAATGTTGCCAGTGTACACAGACCCACAGACACCTGGGGAAAGAGTTTATGTATACAGGAATACAATTGAACATGCAAGGACCCAAGAAAAAACTGAATTGAGATAAGATTCTTTAGGATATTAAGATATTTAAAAGCAGTCCTTTATGAAGGAAATTGAAGAAAAAAACACAAACCCAGAGACCCAGACAATAATCATTCTCAGAAAAGACCTTAAAGGACTGTATGTTTTCATTTCAGGCTAGTTTCAAGGCTAAGAACCTGTACTGCTAATAAATAAAGGTTTCTCTGACATAGAAACAGTCTACAAAGACTGTGAGATATGGCTGTTTTTACAATTGTCCAGATTCAACAGAAACAACAATGACAACAATAGCAATAATAAAACACAAGCATACACATAGAAAATGTGATCCATTCAAATAAAGTATATGAATGATATAAACCATCGATGAACACAGGCATTGTACTTATACAACAAAAAACATCTGTCTTAAGGGTTCTACTAAACAAAAGGAAGACATTGGCAAAAATCTAAATTATATGAATCAGAAAAATTATGTGGACCAATTAAGTATATGAATAAAAATAATATTTCTGAAAGGAAGTGGGCTAAAATTCTGGAATTCAAAAATACAATAACTGAAAATTTTATAACAGAAGTTTTCTGTAGTTTTGATCTAAAATGTCCCCCTAAAACTCATATGTTAAAGGCTTGAGCCATGGCCCATGTCTCTGTTGGGAGATATTGGAACCTTTAAAAAGTGGGACCAAGGTCATTGGAGATATTTCATTGAAGGGGATATTGGGATCCTGGCCACTTTCTCTGTCTATTTTTGCTTATTGGTTTCCATGAAATAAGCACCTCCTCTGCCACATATTCCCATTATGATGTACTACCTCACTTTGGGCCCAACACAACAGAGACACCCAACTATTGACAGAATCCTCTGAAACTGAGCCAAAACAAATTTTTCTTCCTTAAATGTTTATTACCTCAGGCATTTTGTCACAATGGAAAGTTGGCTAACAGAAAGTTTAATAGAACAAACAAGCAGAATAAAATATGTTAGCTTGAGGATAGTTCATTTGAAATCATTTGAGTGTAAGGAGCAAAAAGAATGAAAAAAGTAAACATAGACTAAGAGATTCATGGAAAACCATGAAATGGACCAATATATGCATTAGAGGAGCCATAAATTGAGAAGGAAAAGGACAGAAAATTATTGAACAAATAGTGGCCAAAATTTTCCTACAATGGAGTAAAGCAAATGCAAATTCAGGAATTTCTGTTAACTAAAAGTAGAATAAGTCCAGGTAGAACTTCACTAAAACACATAATCAAAGTGTTGAAAAGCAAGAAGAACTCAAACCATTATTATTTGCTAATGACATAATTTTATACTTAGAGGATCCAAAAAACTCCACCAGAAAACTTCTAGAATAAATGAATTCAGCAAAATAGCAGAATATAAAATCAATACTCATAAATAAAATGCATTTCTATACATTAGTGATGAATCCTCTGAAAGAGAGATTAGGAAAACTACCCCATTCATAATGGCCTAAAAAATACTTGAGAATCAATTTAACAAAGAGGTGAAAGACCTCTACAATAAAAACTGCAGAACACTAAGGAAAGAAATTGAAGAAGACCTTAGAAGATGGAGAGATCTCTCATGGTCTTTGATAGGAAAAAATTAATATCGTCAAAATGACCATAATACCCAAAGCACTATACAGATGCAATGAGATTACAATTAAAATCCCATCATCTAAAAAATAATGTATTGAAAAGCAATGACAAAGAAAGTATCATGAAAATAAAATGATAAAAGTGACTTATTTTATTCAAGGGGCTTCCCAATAAAATTATTCTGAGATTTCCAAGCAGAAATATGGAGAAAAGAATGCAGTGGGATGATATTATAGGTGTGCTGAAAGAAAAAAAAGAAACTGTAAACTGAGAATTCTATGTCTGGGAAAACTTTCTTCAAAAATGAGGGAAAAATTGAGACAATTCACAGGCAAACAAACCCTGAGGGAGTTTGTTATTACTAGATGTCTTCTATAAGAAATTATGAAAGAAGACTTTTAATATGAAATTAAAGGATGCTAGAGAGTACTGCAAAGACATATGAAAATATAAATTTTCTGATAAATGTGAATACATGGACAAATGTAAAAATCAATATTAGTATAATTTGATTGGCAACAAGTTTTTTAATATATATAAACTTTAAAGAAAAATGCACCAAAATTATAAATTCATGTTAATGGGTTACACAATAAATAAAAATAGTTTGCATAAAGCAGTGGGAGGGAGCTGTAAATGAATAGAGTTTTGCAAACAATTGAAATAAATTGGTATAAATTTAAAATAAATTCTTATAACTTTAAATGTTTATGTGATTCTCATGGAACCTACAAAGAAAATGTCTATATAATATACATAAAAGGAAATAACAAGAAAAACATAATATTACAAAATATCAACTAAATACAATGGAAGGTAGTAGTGAAGTAATTGAAGGACAGAAAAGCTATAAGACTAAAAATGTAACAATGTCAAAAATAAGTTTTTTCTTTTGAGTATTTTAAATTTAACTATTTTAATCTCTTCAAAATTATAGATTGGCAGAATGGATTAAAGTCATGATCTGAATATATATGCTGTCTAAAAGTGACACACTTTTAATCTGACAACACAGAGAGCTTAAAAATATATCCTGTGAAAATAGTAACCTAGCTTATTTCTTTAATTGAAAAGATGAATTCTGTTTTTTTTTTTCATTTCTTTATAGGTGGTGAGGGATGCACCCTGGCAGCTGCGTGTTCAGTAATTGGTGTGGGTTCTGATATTGGTGGCAGCATTCGTATGCCTGCTTTCTTCAATGGCATTTTTGGTCACAAGCCTTCCCCAGGTAATTTAACATGGTCAAAAGAGTAGTTCTATTTTTATCAATCAGAGCAGTGGAGTTTTGGGCACTAAAATTTTATTTCTATTTTATTTATTTTTATAATTATATAAATGAAGATTATATATGAACAAAATTTATGTATATTTGTGTATATATGTAATCATATATACATTGGTATATAATATATGAACATAAAATTGTATATATTAATGATGTAATATACTATTTCAATACATGTTCATATTGAATAATGTTTATATCTGGTTAAATATATCAATCTCTTCAAATATTAATTCTTTATGGAGAAAGCTTTGAAAATCCTTTCTTCTAGTTTGTTGAAATATATACTACATTACCATTATCTAATTTTACCCCACTTTGTAATAGCAGAACAGAATTTCTTACTCTTATCTACCTATAACTCAGCGTTCATTGATCCATTTCTCCCCATTCCTCCATTCTTTTCCATCATTATATGTGTTTGTTTTTATATTAAAGCTATGCTATTTTAATTACTATGACTTTGGAATGTATTTTGAAGTCACATAGTATAATACTTCCTCTTTTGTTCTTTTTGCTCGAGATTGCTTTGAACATACTGGTGTTTTGTGTTTACATAAAAACTTAGGACTTTTTCTAATTTTGTGAAAAACATCTTTGAATATTGATAGGAATTGCATTCTATCAAATGAGTCGTGTGGACATCTTAACAATATTGTTGATTTCAGTTAATGGACATGGGATGTATTTCCATTTATTTATTCTCTTCAGTTTCTTTCATCAATGCTTTATCATTTTCATTATAGAGATTTTCACTTCTTTAAATTTATTCTGAGGTATTTTCTTCCTTGTATAGTTGTCATAAATGGAATCGCTTTCCTAATTTCTATTTTAGATAATTGCTATTGGTGTATAAAAACACTACTTATTTTTGTATATTGAAATTTTATCCTGTGAATCTGCTGAATTCATGTATTAGTTCTAGTATTTTGGGGTGGAATCTCTGGGTTTTTCTGCATATAACATATTACCATCTGTAAACAGTGAGGATTTGACTTCCTCTTACCTGTTTTTGAATATCCGTTATTTCTTTTTCTTGCCTAATTGCTCTGGTTAGGATTTTCATTACTATGTTAAATAAAAGTAGTGAAAGTGTGCCTCCTTGTCTGTTCTTTATGTTAAGTAGCAAACTTTCAGCTTTTTCACTATCCACTATGATGTTAGTTTCTGTTTTTACATATGATGTTTATTATGTTGACGACGTATACTTCTACATTAAGTAAGTCATACAGAGTATTTTGTTTACGCAGTATGTAATTTTATCAAATTCCCTTTCCATGTCTATTGAGATGATCATGTGGTTATTCAGAATTTTTGATTCCCCTTGCTTAGTTTACCACTTAATCATTTTTATAGTGACCTTCCTTTTTTCTTCTTACTAATTTTGATTTAAAATCTGTTTTATCTAATATAAGTACACCAACTGATTTTGATTTAAAATCTATTTTATCTAATATAACTATGCCAACAGGATACATTTTTAAGCTCTCTGTGTCTTCTGTTTCTGCTTACTGTTGAGGTGGACTCATGGTTCTTGAATGATGAAACTCACCACAGGTGGTGCTGGCTGGAATAGAAGACTGATAGATTGCAGCTATGTTTCTCTGCCTGTCATCAGGACTGTTCCTATGGCTCTGTGCAGACTGGCCTGAGGATAGAGGCTTTAGAATGCATCCCATTTTCATCAGCCCATCCCTGAGTTCCAAGGCTAAATTCTTTGCTTCCTACCCTTTTCCAATCCCCATTTAATGGAGTTTTGATCTACACTATGCTGCCCAATGTTGGGATAGTGTTTGTAAAAACAGTCCCTTGGGCACAGAGGCTTACAATGAAATTGTTAGCACCTGTGATTCATAACTATAAGGACCTGCACAATCTCAGGGGTATATCCAGGTCCATGCCACAGCTCTCAGCAATGTAGGCTATAACATAAGTCTATCCCATTGGGTTTTATGTTTCTGCCTAGTACCAGAGCAGGTCTAGAGGTACTGTCTTTGAGTACTGGTTAGGGAGTAGCTGTGTTACCCAAGTTTGGAGGACTGGTATTTGACATAGTTTCTTGTCCACCAAGGTTGATGCTAAGCTGTTTGATGCTGAGGCTTATAGCTTCAAGGATTTATAAAGTCTCAATATAGGGCATGAGGCTCAGGATGGCTTCAAGCCTGCATATACCTGATTCTGGTGCAGGTCTAGAAGCTTCATCTTTGAGCTCTGGCATGAGTATAGGAGTTTTAGTGTCAAGTTTCACCATGGCATGCTTTGCACTGAGCTCCAGGAAAAAGTTATGTAGTAACTTTCATAACTTCCCAGTGGATAGTCTTGCTTTTCCATCTCCCTTGGCCACCTGGATAACACAATTCCAGCAGCCCAGTGTGTGGTTATTCGTCTGAGGTAAACGTTTATAGGTCTCTGTCTGGCAGTGGATTTCATTCTGGTGGGCCTGGTACTGGATTTCAATTCTAAGGTTGGCACCCAATTTCTCTTCTTTTCCCCAAGTAGGAGGTGTCTCTCTACACACTGCTTGAAGTTGGGGGAGAAGTGATGCAGGTTACTCTTTATTTCGTGCCTTCTTCAATGTTTCTTTTCTTATCATATTAAAAACAGGCACTATTTTCTCTCACCTGGCTCCCTTAGCTCTTGTGAAGGTAGGTTGGTGTTAGATAGCTGTTTATATTGTTATTTCATCAAAGATAATCACTGGAATAAGAGCTTAGCTAATATCTTGATTTGCCTCCCAAATTTTTAGCTTCTTAGAAACTGCCAAGTTGTTGGGCAAACTAGCTTTACCATTTGACTTCCTCAATAGCAATGTATGAGAAATTCTGTCCCTCCACAGCTCACCAATTAAGTTGTCATTTCCCATTCCTCCTTCCCATGGCCTCTGGCAACCAGAAATCCATTTCTGTCTATGGGTTTACCAACTCTGTATATTTCATATAAATTGAATCATGAAGTATGTGGTCTTTTGTTTCTGGATTATTTTGTTTAGCATAATTGTTTTAGTGTTCATCAATGTTGCAGCATATATCAATACTTTGTTCACATTTATATCCAAGTATTAATACATTGTTTTAATATACTTGAGGTTGGGATTCCCTGTGGTATATTCACAGATGTACATACAAAAGTTCAGTCAGATTCATTCCATTGTTCTTTCCCTTCCTTCCTCCTCCTCCTCAGTCCCCTTCATCTAATCTTTTGACCATTTCTCTATTTTGATGAAATTCCCTTCTCCCTTTTTTCCTTTCTCTTTCATTCTTTCTTGCCCTCTCACTTTATTTTGGATTTGCTTCTACATATCACAGAAACTTTTGACCTTTGACTTTTTAGAACAGGCTTATTATATTCAATACGCTAATTTTTTTAAAAGCTATAAAAATAACACTAAGATCAATAGGGTATAGGGAGAGGAGTAGTTAGAGTAGAAGGAGGGGAAGTGCTGGTGACTCAGAGAAATTATTTTCCATGTTTCTATGATTATGTCAAAATGTATTCTGATATTATGTATAACTAAAAATAATAATGCATCATTTGGAAATACCAGAGTTTCTTGATTCACACAGTTGGTAGACATTTGGATTGTTTTTAACTTTTGGCTACTGTAAATATTGTTGCTATAATAATTAACATATCATTTTGTAAGACCTGTTTTTAACTGTAGAATTACTAGATCATATAGTAATTTTATGTTTAACTGATTTAGGAATGACTAAAACGTTTTCCAGTGTGGCTGAACCATTTTAAATTTCCACCAGTAGTTTTGGATGGTCCCCATTTCTCTGTGTTGTCACCAACAATAGTTATTTTGCATTGTTTTAGTTATAATTATCCCTGTTAGGGTAACACACAGTATCATTTTGATCTTAATTTGCCTTTTCCTGATGACTAACAATGTTTAGCATCTTTTCATGTGCTTGTTATCTATCTTATTATTATATTTGAAGAAATGTGTATTATATTATTTGCACAATTCAAAATTGATTGTTTTTTATTGTGTTGTTTTTTAAAGTTGCAGGAGTTTTTTTTTTTTTTTTATGTGTACTGGAAGTAATCCCTCATCAAATATATGCTCTGTAAGCATTTTTATCCTTCTATGAGTCAGTCTCTCTCTCTCTCTCTCTCTCTCTCTCTCTCTCTCTCTCTCTCTCTCTTTAGATTTTGGTACCAGGGATTAAACCCAGGCATGCTTTACTACTAAACCACATCCCCAGCCCTTTATTTTTATTTTGAGACAGGGTCTTTCTAAATTTCCTAGGGTCTCGCTAAGTTGCTAAGGCTGGCTTTGAACTTAAGATCCTCCTACCTCAGCTCCCAAGTCCCTGGGATGAGATGTGTGTTGCCACTGTGGCTAGCTCATTTTATTCTCTTGATATGTAAAAATTTACATTCTTCGATATGTAAAAAATTTTAAATTTGATAAAATCCAGTTTATCTATTTTTCTTTTTGATCCCTGTACTTTTGGTCTTATATTCAAGGAAGAATTGCAAAATACAGTGTCATGGAGAATTTCCCCTATAAATTCTTTAAAATTTTATAGTTTTAGCTCTTTGGTCTGCTGTCAATCAATTTTGAGTTATTTTTATATATAGTATATGGCTGAAATATCAATATTATGAAAATAGACATGCAGTTTTTTCAGACCTATTTGTTGAAATTGTTAACTTTGACCTATTTAATGGTCTTGGAACTTTGATAAAAAATGAATTGACCCTATATATACATAGTTTTCTCTGTATTCTATTCCATTGGTGTATAAAACTGTCCTTATAGCTAACATCATACTGTTTTGATTTCTGTAACTTACTAGCATATTTGGAAATCAGGAAATTTGAATCCTTCATATTTGTTTATCTTTTTCAAGATTGTTTTGGGTATTTGAGGTTCTCTCAAATTTCATGTGCATTTCAAAATTGTTTTTTTCTATTTCTGCAAGAAAATGTCA